CGCCTAAGCCCTCAGCGCACCTATAGGCCGCTGCCGCGACCGTGCAAAAGCAACTGGCAGCCCCCTCAGAGATGTTGTTACGGTATCCAGGGTTTTGGGGTTTAGGGTTTAGGGTTTAGGGTTCGGGGTTGAGGGTTTGGGGTTTAGGGTTTAGGGCTATTATGGTTGTGCTTGGCAGCTGAGTGGCACCCGTTTGCTCTATTGGGGTTCCTATCCCAAAGGGTTTAGGGTTTAGGGTTTAGGGCTTAGTATACCTGTAGGTTTTAGGGTTTGGGGCATGGTGCCTATGAGGGCTTCTATTCCAAAGGGTCCATGTACCCATATATAGAGGGTTTGGGGTGTAGAGTTTCGGGCAGAGCTATAGGTGGGGGCGTTCCTTTATGGTAGCTTTAACAGCCTTGGAAATTCAAGGCTTTGCTGGTTTCGGTTTGTGGAAGAACATGTGCCCTGAATGTTTACGGTGGAAGTACGAGCTTTCCTGGGCACATCAACTTGTTTTATCGGGTTGAAGGTCTATTCGGCATTTGAGGTCCTAAGGTGGAGAGGGGCCTTCCCGCCGTACGCGCGCGAGTGCACCCAAGGCGGAAAAACCTGCTCCCGTGGCAGAGGCGCCGCGTGTTTGCCTTGTCTGGGTTGCTGTTAACGCAAGCTAAACCCTAAACCCTGAACCCTAAACCGTAACCCCTAAACCCGAAACCCTAAACCATGGGGGCTTGAAGCATTTGGAACGCAGGGAGATAGAATTAAACTAAATGAGACATACCTAAATGTTCAGGGCTCCTAACCCTTATAAAGACCTGTAGCCCCAAAATCCAACATGCTAAGGGTTAGGGTCCCTAGGGTTTAGGGTTTAGGGTTTCGGGTTTAGGGTTTAGGGTTCCTCAGCCCCTGGGCATGAAATTCTCATGCTAGGACCCAGAGTGGCTCCTGTTTCCCTTTTGCGGGTTTGGGTCTCAGCAAAAAGGGTACCTGTTTATTCCGGGTCTAGCATATCGTCCCTTACAAAGGTAGCTTTCTGGTCTAGAGTATGGTTACTGGGATCCCTCAGAATTGAGAGTTACGATGGAAGGTCATTAACACTGTTCTGTTATGCGTTTGCGCCAGGACAGCGTCAGCCAATCACAGCACGAGGACAGCTCTTTGTCTCCTTCGCTGTGATGCTAAACCCCAAACTCTACGGGTAACTGGATACCCATACCCGATGAACCCTCAACCTAGAGCCTTGAATTTGGGCTTCAATGGCTTGCGTGTATGCCCGAGCTTTTCAGTATTTCCGAAGGTTAGTGTGAAATTCGGAGGCATGAGCCTGTGGGAAAATGCACGAACCACTTCTCGTTTCGGAGCTATAGCACGTATAAAGCCTGAATCTGCCCCCACCCCGAGCCCTCAAAATCCCGGACACCGAAACTCCCTGTACCCTAAACCCTAAACCCGAAACCCTGTACCCTAAATACTGAAGCCTAAACCCTAGACCCGAATCAAACCCTTCAAAAAGCCTTTCAACCGCCTAAACCCTAAACCGAACCCGACCAAAGCCATGGCAAATTGCAAAAACGAAAGCATCCCATCCACGAACTCCCAATCTGGGGGGGGGGGGGGGGGGTTCCGTAGAGTTTAGGCTTTAGGGTTCAGGGTTTAGGGTGTTGAGTGGCTTAAGTCAGGTATAAGGTCTTGAGGCTGCCATCGCCGTAGCCGATACATCCCCTAAACCCTGTCCAACCACCTGAGCCCTTGAGCTTCCAACGCCCAAACTGCAAGTCCGAAATCCAGCATCCTGGGCCCTGCTCCGAAATCGTCAACCTCCGAAGCCTTAAGCCCTAAACCCAAGACCCCCGTGACAAACCCACAGCCATGTAGACTTTGTGGTACGTTACTGTAACTTTAGATCCTTACCTTTTTTAGGTTTATTGGGTTTCTTATTAGGGCAGCAAAAAGTTTAATCTATAGTAGATGCAGGAGGCGTTGAGGACTGCGCGGGGCGAACTCGAGGCGCCCGTCATGGATGAAGCCCAACAATTTGTGGCTTAACGGTGCTTGGGACTCAGGGGCTTACAGTGCCTAGGGTCTGGCGTCTCGAAGTTGAAGGTATCTCAAGATTCATGATTTTTAGGGTTTAACTGCCTATAGCCCAGGCTACAAGAGGTTGAATGAGAGTTTCATCGCCAGGTCAAAGCTGCTCGAACCCCAAGACCCCTAAACCTCTAAACCCCCAAAGCCCCAACACCTTGAACCCTTGACGCTTAAACTTAAACCCTAAACCTCTGTAACCTCTGAGCACTAAAACCCCCAACCCTTAACACCCAAACCTCTACAGACCCAAAAGCCCCCTGTGCCCTTGAACCCAAAACCCGTCAACCCTCAACCCTTGAACACCAAACCTCTACAAACCCCCAACGCCCTAAATCCAAACCCTCCTTAAACCTGTATAATCCCCCCCAAAAGCCCTTAAACCCTAAACACTCCTTAAAGCCCAACAGCCCGATAGGCCCAAAAGCCCCTAGAGCCTAAAACCCTGCTTAAACCCCAAACCTCTACAAGCCCCAAAAGCCCCCAAGCCCTAAACCCTACACCTTCCTTAAAACCAAAAAGCCTCTATAAGCCTCAAATGCCCCTAAACCCTAGACCCTCCTTAAACCCCAAAACCTCTATAAGCCCCCACAGCAAAGCCCCAAGCCCGAAGCCCTCCTTTCACCCGAACCTCTCCAAGCCCCAACAGCCCTGAGCCCTCCACCGCAAACCCTAAACCCTAAACCCTAAGCCCTAAGCCCTAAACCCTAAACCCTAAACCCTAAACCCTAAACCCTAGACCCTAGACCCTAAACCCTAAACCGACCTGGCCAGGGAAAGGTTGCCGCCCTGGAGGCTGCGCAGTCGGCGTTAGAGGAGAAAGTGCGGCAGGCGGTAGTTGGGATTTCGGATTTACGGAGGGTTCGGAGGTTCAGGGTTGAGGGTTCGTGGGTTTAGGGTTTAGGGTTTAGGGTTTGGGGTTTAGGGTTTAGGGTTTAGGGTTTAGGGTTGAACTGCTGCTTGTTCTGGTTTAGGGTTCAGGGACGGTTTAGGATTCAGGCTTGACAGGCGGGGTATTGTAAAGGACCTCCGGACATGGACCCAAGCTATGCCACCTACCTTTCCGTGCACCCACAGTGGTGTTCAGGGTTTAGGGTTTCGGGTTTAGGGTTTGGGGGGGAGCAATACCAGCTGATGATAGCAACGCAACATGCAGCAGCGATGCGTCAGGACCTTGGGTTTAGGATGTAGCGTTTAGGAAGGTTCAGGCTTTGTGTCGGGGACTCGGGTTCAGGATTGAGCACGGTGCCCCTTACAGGTGTCACTCATCTCCAAATCTCTGGCCCCTGGCACATACACACATATCCATATATATATATATATATATACATTTTTTATCTATATTTATATTTATATTAATATTTATCTTTATCTTGATATTTTGATTTATTTATTCATATACATGCATTTATGTATGTGTATTTCCTTTATCTATCTATCTATCTATCTATCTATCTATCTATCTATCTATCTATCTATCTATCTATCTATATATGTATATATATATATATAGATATTCTACACTACCATGCCCTTCTAGTGAAGTAGGCCGTGCCAATTCCTGCGGGGGATGCTAGCAAAAAGAGCTGGCATTCCTTCACTGTCTTTGTGAGCTTGAGTTGTGTCTTCCTTCCCAACTTTCCTAGGTAGGATAAGGGGAACCTTGAAACCCTAAACACTAAACCCTAAACCCTTCTGAACCCTCTTCTGGCTCTCTTAAACAGGGACCTTATTCAGTTGCCCAAATCGGCTGAGGCCGAGAGGCCCATCACCCTCACTTCGGCATTGTTGAGAGTTTGTGCAACTTACCGCTGGCCTGTCCCTAAACCCACCCTAAACCCTACACCCTAAACCCTAAACCCTAAAGTCCCGGACTGGATTTCCAAGTACAAGCCCGTGGTGGTATGGGACAGCGCGGTGAGGGACGTACTTGCTTGGATGTCAGCCGGGCAGGGCTGGAAAGAATGAACAAGCCCGGGCCGCAAAAACCGATGTTTCCTCGGCGCATCCCAGCCTTTTAGGGTTTAGGGTTTAGGGTTTAGGGTTTAGGGTTTAGGGTTTAGGGTTTAGGGTTTAGGGCCGCCGCGACGATGTCCGCGCTGAGCTCCGAGACCACGGTATTCTTCGCCCACCGAAGAGAGAGATCCTCAGGATTGTCTTGAGGTCAGGCTGATATGGGGTCGAAAAGGGCTTCGGTTTTAAGTCCTAAGCCCTGCACCCTAAGCTCCAAGGACCTCAGAAAGGGTACTGGGGTCTCAAATCCTGTGGTTTTGAGGGCTAAAAGGACTATAAACCCCTGACCCCTAAACCTTAAACCCTAAACCCTAAACCGTAAGCTCCTAAACCCCAAAGCAAAACTAGGACCCGAAGTAGGCCCTTATTCCCTTTTTGTTAAGGGTTAGGGTCCTTGATATTCCCCTTCAAAATAAAAGGGCACCCTTCTAATACCTAGGTTACTCTTGGGTCACCCTAAACCCTAAACCCTAAGCTCCAAAACCCCAAAGCACCAAAAAAGCTCCCGAGATGGCCAGGCAGAGGCCTCTCGCGATGGAATCCAGGAGGAGCTCTCAAAGGCGGGTTTAGGGTTTAGGGTTTAGGGTTTGGGGTTTAGGATTCGGGGTTTAGGGTTTGGGGTTGGTCGCCTGCAGGCCCCAAACTTCTGGTGCAGACTCGAAAACTGAAAGTGCAAGAAAGGACCCCACAAGCCTCCTCGTTTGGATTTATGAGGGTGTTGCTGGGGCGGGCCCGAGTATACTTAGGAGTTTCTGGGGGCTTCGGGCGCGAGGGTCGAGAGTCAGGCTTTTTTTGGATTTAAACCCTAAACACTAAACAAACCCTAAACCCTAAACCCTCAAGGTTGAATTAGGAAAGTCCCGGGGTTGAGGGCATCGGGGGTTGGAGCATTGGGTCGCAGCGTAGCTCTTTGCGCCCGCATGGGTATCTCGTTTCTTTATGAGCCCTAAACCTTGGGATATTCCCCCTTAGACTAACAGTCCTTAGTTTGGGATTTATAGTACCTCCTCTCTATTCCTATTTAAGGACTGTTAGTACAAGGGGGGGAACATCCCAACCTAAACTCTGGCGCCGCGGTCTTGAGCAAGTTCTGTCTGGGGATCGGCTTCGGGGGGTCTGGGGTTCTCAGTGTAGGGGTTTAGGGTTTCGCGTTTAGGGAGTTTAGGGTTTTTGGGGTTCAGGGTTTGGGGCAGTGCTTGGGGGGTAAGGCTTTGCGGTTTGGCGGTCTTTGGTTTCGGTTTTGGCATAGTAGGTGTTGGGATTGGGGTTTGGGTTCCAGGGATCGAGATTTGAGATGTGGGCTGGTTGGGGTTTCGGTTTGCTGTTGGAGGTTTAGGGTATGTTGCGGTTCCAGAGTCATGCCCAAGGCCACAAGCCCTAAACTCACACCTAAGCTGCATAAAACAGAAACCCTGAACCCCAGACCCTATATGATATGCTAGGACCCAGAGTAGGCCTTTATACCTTTTGTTTAATGGGGTTTAGGTTCCCCTACAGGCCCCTTAGAACCAAAAGGGGCACCCTGTGCATTCCTAGGTAACTCTTGGGTCCACCCTGGAAACCACATGGGCCCTAAGATTGGGACCATATGCCCTATACTGCTATAAATCCAGTCAAGGCATATGAACCATAAACCCTTTCAGGGTTCATCTCATCCCCAAGGTTGTATGCCCTAAGCCCTTAACCCTAACCCCAAACCCCAAACCCCAAACCCCAAACCCTAAACCCTAAACCCTAAACCTCAGGGTCGACGCGAGACGCGCAGCCCCGCAACGTGAGTATTAAGGGTATAAGGAGGGGCCCTGGAAGGGGACCCGAAACCCTAAACCCTAAACCCTAAAGCCCTAAACCCTAAACCCTAAACCCTGCGACCCTTACTCTGATTCCCCCTGAAGCCATTTTGATTCCTTACATAGCCTCTAATTTTCCTAAAGTAGCTCCCTCAAGCACCCTTAAAGAACACCCAAGTTCCGTTATAAGGGTTTAGGGTTTAGGGTTTAGGGTACCTCCTCTAGTCCCTTGAGAGTAATGATGCGCCGGGCCAGTGATGCGTGGTGGGCTTATCGGCTCAGGAACACCGAAACGTACATGTTTAGGGTTTGGGGTTTAGGGTTTAGGGTGTAATTAGGGGACATCTTTGAAGATTTTAGGGTGTCAGGTTTAGGGCTTCGTTTCGGGGCCTAAACCCTGGACCCTAAAACCCTAAACCCGTGGACACCGAAACGTACATGACAACTTTGAAGATTCAGGGTGTCAAGTTTAGGGTTTGGGCCTGACTAAACTAAATTCTGGTTAGGGTTTAGGGTTTAGGGTTTAGGGTTTAGGGTTTAGGGTTTAGGGTTTTAGGTTTAGGGTCCCAGGTGGGGTCTAATGGTGCTTTAGGCTTGGGGCCTCACCAGGGCTCCGCGTTGAACGTTTGTGGACGGGGTGCCTGCTATCGCCGAAAGTTTCGATTAGGGTTTAGGGTTTAGGGTTTAGGGTTTAGGGTTTAGGGTTTAGGGTTTAGGGTTTAGGGTTTAGGGTTTAGGGTTTAGGGTTTAGGGTTTAGGGTTTAGGGAATTTAGGGGAGGTAACGCAGATGGTCCCGGCTTGTGCCGTGCTTGCGTCCATCCTACTCGCCGTAGCTGCGGAGGGTTTTCCAGGATCTGAGGGCAGTTACATGGTCCCGTTAGTATGGGCCCTTAAAAGGGACCCCTCATATGCCCCTTACATACCCTACACAAATACTACGGGCCCATATAAGTACCCCATGAGACAGGAGGCGATCTCGCGCTGGAAGGTGCCGACCCCACATCTCTCTTGACCATCTCGGTTGAGCGGACTCGTCAACCCCGACGTTCCAGGAGGCGTAGCCTGAATCGGTGGTTCCTTGGGGGCCAAATGAACCCTAAGGTCGGGATTCTATACCCTATCTATCTATATATTATATATATATATATACACATATACACATATTTTTACTATAATTAGTTTCTATGAAACCAAGTGAACCCTAAAATTGGGATCATATACCCTATATCTATATATATATATATATATATTACACGTATATATTACGCGAGAGTTCCTATGAAGGTACTGTGAACCATAGCCCTAAACCCTAAACCCTAAACCCTAAACCCTAAACCCTAAACCCTTAACCCTTTGAAGGCTCATTTGGCCCCCAAGGTTGGTGGAAGAGCTGACTACTCAAGGCAAGGAGCTTGAGGACTTGAAGAACCAGCTTCTTGGTAGCCTTTACCATTTTTTTTGGGGGGTTTAGGGTTTAGGGTTTAGGGTTTAGGGTTTAGGGTTTAGGGTTTAGGGTTTAGGGTTTAGGGTTTAGGGTTTAGGGTTTAGGGTTTAGGGTTTAGGGTTTAGGGTTGCTTGCTGGTAGCCCAGTGGTACCCTTTACCCTTTTTTTTGGTTCTGGGTTCCCTTAGAAAGTAACCAACCAAAATGGGTGCCCTTATTATAATATGGTTCCTGGGCTACTAAGGTTCCTCGATTTACTCGCTGAGTTCCAGCAGGTCAATGCCAGCGGCCTAAAGGAAGAGGTCGAGGGCTTGAGGACGACGGTGAGAGAGCAAGAAGCAGAGATCCGAGCCTTGAAGAGCACGGTGGCGGAATTGCAGACCAACGTCACGGAGTTGCACCTAGAGCAAGGCGCAGAGATCCGATCCCTGAATAGCACGGTGGAAGAATTGCGAACCAACATCACGGAGTTGCACATAGAGCAAGGCGCAGAGATCCGAGCCGTGAATAGCACGGTGGAAGAGTTGCGAAGCAACGTCACGGAGTTGCACGTGGAGCAAGGCGCAGAGATCCGAGCCGTGAATAGCACGGTGGAAGAGTTGCGAAGCAACGTCACGGAGTTGCACGTGGAGCAAGGCGCAGAGATCCGAGCCGTGAATAGCACGGTGGAAGAGTTGCGAAGCAACGTCACGGAGTTGCACGTGGAGCAAGGCGCAGAGATCCGAGCCGTGAATAGCACGGTGGAGGAATTGCAAACCAACATCACGGAGTTGCACCTAGAGCAAGGCGCAGAGATCCGATCCCTGAATAGCACGGTGGAAGAATTGCGAAGCAACATCACGGAGTTGCACATAGAGCAAGGCGCAGAGATCCGAGCCTTGAATAGCACGGTGGAGGAATTGCAAGCCAACATCACGGAAGAGATCCGAGCCTTGAATAGCACGGTGGAAGAATTGCGAAGCAACATCACGGAGTTGCACATTGAGCAAGGCGCAGAGATCCGAGCCCTGAATAGCACGGTGGAAGAATTGCGGACCAACATGACAGAGTTGCAAACAGAGCAAGGCGCAGAGATCCGAGCCTTGAATAGCACGGTGGAAGAATTGCGAACCAACATCACAGAGTTGCAAGCAGAGCAAGGCGCAGAGATCCGAGCCCTGAACAGCACAGCGCAAGACTTGCGAGCCAACATCACGGAGTTGCAAGGAAGGCCCAATCCCTTCACGCAAAACGCGAGCGAGCACACCTTGGTCCTGCGTGATTGGAACTTGGAGATTTCGTCGACCCTTCCGGGGCGAGGCAACCTGGTGATAGGCACCGGCCATCTCTACGGAACGGCCATGAACTCCTTCTTGGCTGGGAGAGGCAACCGGGCAGTTAAGACTGGCGAGCTCGGGGCTGTGGTGTTTGGGGAGGGCAACACGGCAGAGGGGCCCGGGGCTGAGGTGCTCGGCGGAACGAGAAACCTCGCCAACGGCTCGGCTCCAGTTGTGCTCAGTGGCAGTCAGAATACCGCCACCGGTCCCCAATCCGCCATCATTGCCGGCGTCAGCAATGAAGTCACAGCACACCAAGCCGTGGTCGTTGCCGGTACCAACAACGACTGCTTTGGCCCCCAGAGCGTAGTCGTCTCTGGAGATGAAAACCGTCTCCACGCAAACGCAGGGCAGTCTGCAATCCTCGCGGGCGTCATCAACCAGGCCTGGGGCTCCCGTTCCGCGATCGTGGGGGGCGCAGGATGCAGCACCGGCGAGGAAAATTCCGGCTTTGCCGGAGAATTGGCTGTTGTTGTCGGGGGAGAGATTTCCAGGGCAACTGGGTATGAGGCCATCGCTGTCGGAGGAGCCAGTAGTAAGGCCGTGGGCAGGCAGTCGATCGCTGTCGGTGGTGCTAGCAACCAGGCAACCGGAACTCAGGCGGTGACTTTGGGAGGAGCGATCAACGTGGCCCAAGGCCTGGAGGCCGTGGTGGTGGGTGGCATCCGCAACAATGCTGCCTCGGGGGACCTGTCGGTCACTTGGTAGCCCACTGGTACCCCCCCCCCTTTTTTTCAATGCTAACTGCACTTATCAGCCCCCTAAGTCCTTACAAGTACCCACGAACCTCCAAATACAAGCCTAACCCCTAAACCCTAAACCCTTTACAACTCAAGTCGTCTAAGCAGGGTTCGAAGGGGATACAAGTAAGTACCCATGAACCTCCAGATACAACCCTAAACCCTAAATCCTCTAATCACAACTCAAGGTCATATTGGGCGGTGAGCGCAACCAAGCCACAGGAGGGAAGGCCGTGACGCTGGGCCGGTCGTTTCAGGACACCTCAGGCACACTGGGCCTCGGGCCCCTGGCCTGAAGTCCCAGTGGCGCCCTCAATTGTTTAATGGGTTTAGGGTTTAGGGTTACTAGGCAGGCCCTGGGGATATTGTATATTATTCCCTTAATTGGTTTAAGAGCATCATGTTGAGGAATCCCTGTCATAGGTCATTTTAAGGGCCATCCTAGTCAGTCTTTTGTTCAACAGCGCTCTGACGCCAGACCCTCACGGCTGCCCCTCAAAAGAAGATGCCACTGTTACACTGTTTAGGGTTTAGGGTTTAGGGCTTAGGGCTTAGGGTTTAGGGTTAGGGTGTCGGAATCGGAACCCTGAACCCTGAACCCAGACCCAAAAAGTGCGTTCGACCCAACTGTACTCCCTAAACCCTGATCCCTGAGCCCCACAAGCCCTGAGCCCCGAACCTTAAAGTCTAAGCTCTAAACCCAAGACCTTGCAACCCTAAACCCTAAACCCTCCTCAACCTACAGCCCTAACCCTGAACCACAAACCCCAAACCCCAAAACCAAACCCTAAACCCTAAACCCTAAACCCTAAACCGGAATCTCCAACTCCGAGCCCTCCAGCCTGAGCCTTATTAGCCTGAGATGGGTATGGGGGTTTTACGAAAATAGGGGGCCCGCGATATAGATCCCCAAATAGGGTTTAGGGTTTAGGCCTTATGATAAGGACCCCAATATATAAGGTGTTTAGGGATCAGTGTTTAGCGTCTGGGGTTTAGGGTGTTCGTTTGTTTTTGGGTTTAGGGGCTTTCTGGTTTAGGGGAAACTGTCTGGAGTTTGAGCTAGCGGTGCTCTGGTGCTACTGAGAGGAAGCTGCCAAACTGGATGTTGCTGCTATGCCCAGCGACCTACTGTAGACAGCGCAAGCGCACCGATTCCCGAACCCTAGACCCTAACCCGAAACCCTAAACCCTGAACCCTGAACCCTACACCGTAACCCTGAACCCTAAACCCTAAACCCCTCACTTTCTTGCAGTGTTCAGGGTTCGGGGGCTGTCGTTTCGGGGTAGTTAGGGCCCGGAATAATTACGAAGAATCTTCCCTTGTGGTCCCTTTGTAGTTATACAGTAATAACCCCCCCCCCCAAAAAAAAAAAAAATCGTCCTACACAGTACTCACTCAAACCAATCTGCCCCCCCCCCCCCCCCCCCCCCCACAAGTCCCTCCGCCCGACGGATCTGCCCATAACCCAAAAACGCGGCGCCTGCCTTGACCACATGAACCCTAGGATTGGGGTCGTATACCCTGGTTTCGGGTTTAGGGTTTAGGGTTTAGGGTTTAGGATTTAGGGTTTAGGGTTTAGGGTTTAGGGCTAATATTAAGGTAATAGGAATCACACTGCCCTACTAGCAGTTATACAGTTGCACAGGGTATTATAACGCCCCAAGTTCCTGGGGGTCCCCCCAAGTTCCCCCTTTTCCCCTGTAGTTCTGAGCAGGGAATGAGGGTTTAGGGTTTAGGGTTTAGGGTATCAGGGCCTCAAAGTTCCTGCATGGGGTTTCTGGCATCTTGGAGGGCACTTTGGCAAGGGGGCGCTGGGCGGACCCTTCAACCGGGATCGATACCTTCAATGCGCAAATCCCCCCACGCTCCTCAACCCCCAGAACAACACTAAACCCTCAACACTCAACCCTAACACCTAAGCCCCTAGACCCGAAATCCCTAAACCCTAAACCCTAAACCCTAAACCCTAAACCCTAAACCCTAAACCCTAAAGCCCCAAACCCTAAACCCCAAAGCCTGCTTCGCCCCCACCATCTTTCCCATACCCGCGCTAGGCAGAAAGTGCTCTGGCAGCAGCTGCAGCCGAGAAGGACGGCCAGGGCACATAGTCCCTAGTCCCTCCTCCCGTATGCATGTGATCCCTGAAGGTTTAAAGGTTAAGGGTTTACGGTTTAAGGTTTAGGTTTCCCATTTCGGGTATGCTAAGTATTAGGGGCCGCCTTCTGATAGCAACTCCAAAACGGACCATATGTCAAGGAAGTGTCCCTATCACCCCCCCCCCCACTCCCCTCGCGAGATTCACATCTTCGACGAACAAGATCCCCATTTTGCAAAGTATCCTGAGAAGCAAGGGATGGTAGGGCTTATTGCAAGCAAGAAACATGTGATGAGTCACTGGCAGCTCGAAACTCTACAGAGCAGACTGAAGCGCTAAACCCTAAACCCTAAACCCTAAACCCTAAACCCTAAACCCTAAACCCTAAACCCTAAACCCTAAACCCTAAACCCTAAACCCTAAACCCTAAACCCTAAACCCTAACAGACCCTCATAGATTCGTTTTCCTGGGGCTAAGGTTCCGGCGCTTTGCGCGCGTTTAGGCTTCCTAAGTGCTGCGGCAGACCACTAAGACACCCGCATTTATAGTTCCTTAGTTCGGGTTGAGGGTTTAGGGTTTAGGTTTAGAGTTTAGGGTTTAGAGTTTAGGGTTTAGAGTTTAGGGTTTAGAGTTTAGGGTTTGGGGTTTAGGGCTTCTTCTGCCTTACAACAAAGACGTCGAACCGCCAGAGAATCGACGTCTCAAGCCATTTCAAGCACCAGCCATCGAGGATGAACTGCGCGAACGGGTCCAGCTTCTTGAGGCTCCCTCCCATACGTGAAGGTTCAGGGCAATTGTAACCCCATTTCAACGTCCCGGGCACTATAACCCCAAATTTCACTGCACTTAGAAGCTCCCTAAGTCCTCTAAGTAGGTTAGAGGTAGATTTATAAACTGGGGTTAGAAGTACCCATGAACCTCCAAATACCCATGAACCTCCAAGTAGGGTCATTGTGTTGTAATAGGGGGCCTTGAGGTTGAAGCCTAAACCCTGAACCCTGATCCCTTAAACCCTTTAGGCTTTAGCGGTTAGGGTTTAGGAGGGTTCAGGTTCCGACCTTTCTGGGCATAAATCATCCCCCGGAGACAACTCGGGCAGAAAGCCGTACAATGGGTCAGGCTTATAGCACCCCTTTCCCCTTACAGTAGCGAGCATAGGCTGTTCCTGTTCCAGATCACAGAAATACTAGGGCTTTGGACGAGCTGCCCATAGATCGTTTGCTTTGTATACGCTGAGGGGGCTCCGCAGAACATACCTGTATGCGCGAGAGTTACTTTGTAGTCAGGGGGCTTGGGCCTAAGTTGCTCCCCCCCGCCCAAACCCGAAGCCCTAAACCCTAACTCGCTTGATATTTATCATCAAGCCTGGGCACGTTGAACCTAAACCAGGGGCAATGAACAGTCCAATAAGTGCCACTACAACGCCAACAGGTGGACCTCGATCGAAAAGGCGCCGCGATGGCAAAGAAGGTTTCGCAGGCCCATCGCTTCAGTTTCAGGCTTGAAAGGGCTTAAGGGTGTAGTGTTGTACTAAAGGCTTCGGGCTTACATAGACGGTATAGGGTTTAGTCTTCTCTTGGTGGGGGGAGCAAGCGAGGGGGAGAGGAGGGTGCCTAGTGTTATTTGGCATCTTGATTGGCTAGCAGGGCTTCCTCACCCCCCCGCCCAATACCCTTGGCCCTAAACCCCAAAGCCCTACACATCCCTACACCCTGTGCCGTAAGCGCTAAACCCCAAAGCCCAAATTACTCAACACCAAAAAGCGCTGAAAACCCTGTTCCTGTTGCCCCAGAGCTTAAGATGAGCATGTCCCAAAACACGCGTACACTGCATACCCAAGACAAGTGTCAACAGGGTTTAGGGTTTAGAGCTTAAAGGTTTCAAGGTTTGGCATTTGGGGCGTGTAGGGTTAAAGGATGAGGGGAGCGCAACCTTTAGCTTTTCTTAGGCTTTGATCTGCGTCCAGGGGGACTTGTGGTGTCCTGGAAGGTGTGGATTTGGATGTTTCCGGGGGCCTTCAGGGTGCCCAATGGGAGGTTCCAAGAAAATATCAGGGTTTAAGGTTTGGGTTGTAAGGTTTTGGTTAAAGTTTTACTTGGAGGTTCATGGTACTTGTGAACCAATTAGAACTGTACGGACAACTGTACTTATATCCATATTAGGGCATTTAAGGGGCTTACAATGGCTTACAAGTGGGTCAGAAGTAATTGCAGTTATTATCATTGGGTTAATAGGTACCATGAACCTCCAAGTCGCATGGCTGACTCAAGGCTTCATTGTTCGTCCCCTCTCCTCCCCCTGGCAGCTTCCCACGGCCAAGAAAAAGCCAAGCCCCGAATTGTTCAAGGGTTCCAGGGTTTTGCCGGGAACCTCTAAATGACCCTAAACCCTAAACCCCAAACCCGAAATCCCGCCCGAAACCCTGAACCTATAGCCGCGCAGGCCGAGGAGCGGGAGCAAAGCCTGGAGAAGGCCTTGGAGGAGGAAAAGGCCCGGAAAGCCTTTAGGGTTTAGGGTTTAGGGCTTTTAGGGCTTTTAGGGCTTTTTGGGGCTTTTAGGGGTTTTAGGGCTTTTAGGGCTTAGGGCTTAGGGTTTCGGAAGCCTTGGGGCTCATTCCCCAACCCCTGCTCTCCAACCCCAACGGCATCTACTCCCAAGCTGTGCCCACTAGAACCCTCGAGCCCTAAAACGTATGAGCTCTAAATATGCAGAAGTGGAAAAGGAACACAGCCAAAGAAGTCCAAGCAAAAGCACACGTAGCGCCCCTACACCTACGTAAGCCCTCAGCCGGATGAAGCCCTGAGATCTACAACCCTAAACCCTATACTGGGAGGTTCAGGGCACTTATAACCCCAATTCCCTGTACTTTAGATGCCCTTCAAGTCCTCTAAGCAGGTCATAGGTAGACTTCTAATTGGGGTCATAAGCAGCCATGAACCTCTAAATGCAACTCCTTAAACCCCAAACCCTAAACCCTAAACCCTATACAACCCTAAAACCTATACAACCCTATACAGCTCCAAAACCCTAAAGCCCTCTAGCTGGTGCAGTTGCAGGCGGCTCGGGCCGAACTCGAGGCACAACTCCAGGCTTGGGGGGTTTCGGGTTGTGCAGGGGTAGGCTCGAACGTACTTTCAAGGGGTTTGAGGTTTAGGGTTTAGGGTTAGGGTTTAGGGTTTCGGGTTTCGGGAACAAATAT